TGCTGGAGCCAGCAGCACCCCCCCCTCATGTCAACAGACACCACCAAGGGTGGGGAGGGACAGCCTGGGGTGAGGACAGTTGAGCTGCATACAGAACTGGGGATGGATTGAGGATAGGAACTCCAGGAAAGATACAGGCACTGGCCAAGCTGACTCCAGAGTTCTATTCCCTCCCCCCCCCCCCATACTGCACTATCAACCTTAACCAGACCTCAACAGCCACCTTCAGTCATCAATGACCAGTTTTAGGTTCCCTTGCCAAGCTTCTCAGATCTTAGCAAAAGTGCACTTGCACAGACTGTCACAGAGCAGCCACACAGTGGGCAGGGGTGAGGAAGGATTGCCTCCAGCTGCAGAGTGACTCACTGGGGACCTAGCTCCAAGGGCCAGAGAGTGCAGGCACACCAACCAGGCTCTGGGGGCTTTGTAAGCAAGCTCAGGAGTCACCTACTTAGGCCATGTCTGTCTTGTCCCAATCCTCATTGTTTACAATGGTGGGGGTCATGCCACGCCCACATCCCAGCATCCCTTGTGGGAGGAACATGCTACAGGTTCCCACAGTGAGCTTTGCCTTATGTTGTTGGGGAGGGGGGCAAGGGAACCTGCCAGGAACACCTTTGGCCCTACCCTGCTCAGCCACATCTCTGCCATTTTGCTTGTGGGCCAGGCCCTGGGGCCCCAGGTTGAGGGCGAGGATGACTCCATTGCTCCTCTGGATTCCACGTCCTGGGAGGAATCAGAATGTGCAGCTGGGTCCACAGAGTAGCCCAGGTATAAGAGGAGATGGGTACACAAGTGTGGTGATGTTTTGTTTATGATCTAATAAAGCTTGCCAGAAGATGGACTGCAAAGCTAGCCACAGCCAGAGAGACCAGACAGGGGTGGCACACACCTTTAATCTCAGCAGCCAAACTAGTGAGTGAGCCATGGAAACTGGGTGGTGGAGGTGCATGCCTTCAGTCCCAGCACTAGAGAGGAATATAAAGCAGATGGAGACAGCAGCGCAGTGTATGCAGTCTGCAGTCATGCTGAGGACAGGATCACCCCAGCCTTGGCGGAACGACTCTTTAATGGTTGGCTGCTTTGCTTTTCTGGTCTTCAGTTTGAACCCCGACATGTCTCTGGGGTTTTGCTATTCATGCTACACACAAGAGACAGAGCAAACTAAACCAAACAGGTTTTTTCTCTGGTACATTCCATCACATCCCCCCAAGCCCATGTTCACATGTGCAGCGCTTGCTCACACATGTGCTCACATGCCACACTTGGGTACTCAGTGCTCAGAGGACACATGTTGATGCTTGGTGATAATAGCCTGGGCTGGGACAGGAAAGGCCAGTGGGGCATCCGGGATTGGGCAGCGGCAGCCTTGTTGCTGCCAGCTGCTCTACCAGCTGGGAACCAGTCCAAGAGGGAGAACCCATGAGAACCCCAAGTCGGCTCCGTCAGAGCTGCGGCCGTTTCATGTGGTTCCAACTCACTAGTGTGATCCAGCATTTCAAAGGTGTCCTTGCAAAGGATGGCCCTGCGTGTCTCTGCCTCCACCTGGGCCAACTCCAGTGTCAGGTCCTCTGCCAGAAAGCTAAAGGCACACACACACACAGTCCCCATCAGCCCTCAGTCAGAGAAGAGTTCTGGAGCCATAGAGAATGCCATCTTACCCCCAAGCACAGCTGGGCCGTGCCCATTGTACGTTATCCAGGTTATTCCAAAAGTTCCATCGGCCCCACCCCTGAGGGGCTTTTTGGGCAGGCCTGAGGAAGACACACAGCAACCTCACTGCTGACTGCTGCCAACAAGCCTCAGGTGGCCTGGGGATGGGATGCCATGAGATCTCCTTATGCCCCTAGAGACATGCACAGGCCCCCTGACACCCAGGGTGTTCAGAAGACTAAAACAGTGAGAGGCTTGGGCACAGAATGGGCCCAGAAAGTCCTGAGCCAGAAATGGTCCTTGATGGGCATGCAGTTCAAGAACAGCTTCTTGAGCAGAGGAAGCCAGCCACTAGCCCCTTCCCAGCTGACCAGGAAGTGAGTAGGCACCGAGTACAGGATGGCACAGCCTTTTACAGACTGGAAAACAAAGGCCCAGAAAAGCTGCCACCCAACAGCTAGAACCTGAGAACCGAGTGCCAGAGTCACCCCTACCACCTTGCACTGGGCCAACAGCATAGGGCTTGAGTCTTGTCCAGTCATGGAAAAGCAGGGAACCCCAACAGGAGGCTACACCTGGGCTCTGCCTAGCAGAGGCCAGACACAGCAAGCCCATCCCCACCCATCTGGTTGTAGGCATCATCCTTCCTACCATCTATAAAAATGTTCCCTTTCCAGGCACCTTGCCCTAAGGTGGTGATGTTGCTCTACCTCCCATTGTCATGGAACCTGGGGAGGAAGCTACACAGACTGGAGACCGAGCAGAGATGAGGACAGTGCCCTCACCACCACTCTGGACAACCCTCTCCACGCCTATCTATTGCTGTCACTATCCATGATGTAAAAGCTCGCAGCCAGAGGCATTCACCTTTCTGAGCTAAGGACAAGGGTGGGTACCTTACAGCAGGGCCAGTGGTACTGACCCCTAAGGGTCCTCCTGCAGTTTTCACCCCGACTGTTTCAGGACAAATGATGCCATGGCAGGCCTGAATCAGTGAGGGGCCCGCCTCACCCAAACACTGGGTCATCTGGCACTGGGAATCCACACAGCTGGTTCTTTAGCCTTGTGATCCTCACTTCCTGGGTATGGTCGATTCAGTCAGAGAAAACAATGGCAAAGAGAGCCACTGTGTATGTCCAAGCTCCTCCAAGGAAACATCTCAGAAGTCAGGTGTGAAAAAGCACACTTGTGATCCCAGCAGTCAGGAGACCAAGGCAGGATTGTTGAAAGCTTAAGGCTAGCCAGGGATACACAGGAGAACTGTGTCTGAGGAAGCAAAGTAACTTTTTTTCCTTTGTTTTCTCGATACAGGATTTTCCTGTGTAATAGCCCTGGCTGTCCTGGAACTAGCTCTGTAGACCAGGCTGGCTGTGAACTCAGAGATCTACCTGCCTCTGCCTCCCTAGTGCTGGAATGAAAGCTGAGTGCCATCACCACCACCACCACTGCCCAACAAAAGCAAAATAACTTTCAACAGCCATCACCACACACAAGCTTATTCCCAGAATTCATCCATAGAAAGCCTGATGGTCCACAACAGAAGGAATTATGGCCTCCCAGTCACCCAGATGAGGAAACAGGAATGGAGTAGACTAGGTGAGGGGGCCTCTTCCTACCTGGTGACAGCTATTTGGGGAGACAGGGCCTGGTGGGAAGAGGAAGGCCCTAGAGTCAATCATCAGACCCTGTACATAGTAATCATCCCCAAGCTGCCAGAGGGGGAGCTGGCAGCCTAATTTCCAGGTACTGGACAGAGGGAGATAGCAGAGAGCTAGACACTGGCCCCTATCCCAGGCACATGGGAGGCCAACATTTGCCAACAGCAGCCAGTATCCTAAGGTGCTGAGGCTGGGCCAGTGTGGGCTGCGCTGTGTGGGGAACAGGGGAGAATGGAACAATGTGGACGAGTCAGTACAGCAGCAGCACATGGAAGGCATGCATTCCCTGAGCAGCAGCCCAAATGAACAAGCAAGTGACATAGACGGCCTTCAAAAGGGGACACATCGCCTTGGTGCTCAGTGCAGGGCCTAGAGGCTATAGCTTCTCTAATATGGGGTGAGCTTGCAGGGTTTTCTTGTTAACATACACTGACCCCTCCTGATACCACCAGATAGCCAGCATCGAACAACAATAGGTACAAGGGGTCTGGGTAGGTGGATGAATGAAGATGTGGCTGCCTAGGTTCCTGCCTCTGTAAGGAACCCTTGATCAGTGTAAACCCTGCCCAATATTGGGGCATAGTCTACAGGTGCATTGGGCCCTACACCACTCAGCCATCTGACAGGGGCTGCCAATCTGACAGCATGAAGGGCTGACCTAAGCAAGAGTCTAGGCTACCAGATGAAACCCACCCCAACCATGCTAATTCATGTGCCCCACCCCATCAGACAGGGCTTCCAGATATCTCAGCCCTTATAGGCGGCCTCCAATGTATGGATGTGGGCATCTACAGGCCAGGTATGCAGTGTAAGAAAGCTGTGCCTATGACAGGTTCTAACCAAGCCACCAGTGAGCACTCAACATCTGCAGACATCACTCTGGAATAAGACATGGCTGCTGCTGGTGGCCGCAACTGTGGAGCTGAGCAGGAATAAATGAAACCACTGGGAGTTGTGGAGATGTGCAGGGAAGGAGATGGAGATGCAAGGATTAAAGATGCCCCAACCACCCAGGGAAGGAATGGCAGCATCACCTGGAGCCAAACCCAGGCTCAAGCAGTGGTTGGGAGCTACTTCCCCCAGGTAGAAAGGGTCTAAGTCTCTCCCCACAGCACTTAAGCATAGCAGCAGCCCCCCCCCCCCAGGAACCTGAGCAACAGGGAAACGAAGGCAGACAGCAGGTCAGCCAGAGGACCAAGGCTCATTCAGTAACTTCATTTTGAGGCAGGTTCAACAGCAAGTGATTATACTTTTGCAGCATGGCTTCAAGAACAAGCTACAATGTCGGGCATAGCGACCAATGCCTTTAACCCTGGTATTTAATGGGCAGAGGCAGTGCTACATAGTGAGAGCCAGAGGGATGGGATGATATGGTAAGAAGAAGCTATGTGAACCCGAAGCACAGTACTGTCTGATGCCTGCTAGTGACCACCTTGGACCCCTTGCTCACAAGACCGCTCACAGTTAAGACATTAGCACACGTTCAAATCCATCACATCCAAGTTCGCAGGCCCCGAATCCGGCCACAGACCTGAACAAAGAACCTCCAGCCCCAGAGAGAGGAGGAAAGGACACAGGAGATAGAAGGAAACGTGAAGAGAGCCCTTGGCACCCACAGAGCTGCCTCCAACCAACTCCGGAAGGTGACCCAGGCTCGGGTTCCCAAAGATTCTACGAGAACGCTGTGGGGAAGGGACAGACACTTTTATTGAACAGCAATTAAAGTCCACCACAGAAGAAGGACACTAGAGGATTCTTTTTTTTCATTTAATAAATACAAATGAATAAAAATACTTTTGTTTTGTAAAGAGACTGCCTGTCTTCTTCCCCACTTGCCAGGGAGGCCTGAGGGTGATGACATGCCCTGGTGCCACTCTGCATGTGTTCATGTCCCCACACAGGCTACCTCTTTTCAGAGAGGGCTTCCTCAGTGGCCTGCAAATACTATTTCGGTACAATTCCCTTCTCCTGCACATCCCAACACCAGCCTCTGCTCCATTTCAGATAGAAATGGACTCCTTTGGGGAAGGAAAGCATGAGGTCCCCACAGATACCCAGCTGGAGCCGCAGAGCTGGGAACTACTAACACCATGAAACATGCACAGCGCCAGCCACTGGCATGTAGACAAGGAAAAGCGGACCATGTGCACAGAGCTGCTGCACACACCACAGACACGCTGCACTTTAAAAATAGAAACTCACGTTTAAATGTAACCTGTTTAGAAAAGGCCAAGCATCCCCTTACACTGAAGATCTATCTGTTATTGCTTGTGGCATCTACTCCCGGCACTGTCGCTCAGTGTGGTCCTGCTGTTTGAGACCCTCCACCCCTGGCCTGTGCCACAGCCGTCTCCCAGCTCGTCTAGTTCAAAATGCACACCTCTGCTGAGCACCTAGTGGCAGATTCCCTTCTAACCCTGACAGCGAAGAACAGTTTGATCCTAGAGCTAAGCTTGTATATACACAGAACCCCTAGGCGAGACCCACACTAAAGCCCTGGCAGACAGACCCTGCCTGCTCTAGTGTGCACCACCTACTCAGACATGGACACAGCCAGGAAGAACAGCAGTCCTGGTAACCCATGTCTCCTTCTCATGAACCCATTTACAAAATAGCCCCTGCAGGGGGCTAGGGTGACATCCGTGATGCACACAGCAAGCCTCTGTCACCACGCCAAAGGCAGCCTAGGCTTGTAAGTGCAAAGTGTCAAAAGAAGCTCAGAATGCCTCCTGAGACCCCCAGGAATCGAGAGGCAGGGACAACAGGTCCACACTGCTTTCTCCAAGGCCCCATGTCCTCAGAAGGAGCAGCACAGGTATCCCCAGCCCCTGGTGGATGACAGAGGCAGGTCCTCAGCACTGCAGGAAGGCGCAGAGCTGAGGACCCCGTAGCTGGGAGAGGTAGTGAGGACAGCCTGGACCCTCCCTGAGGCGCAGCAGGAGGGACCCTTTGCAGCGCAGCTGTCATTGTTCCAGTCATGATTTCAGGGGAGCTGCCCGTCTGGGGTGGAAAAGAAGGAACAATGGGTGCTGTGGCTCCGCAGTTGCCTGTGTTGGTGTCGGCACGGCAGCACTGTTGCCAAGTGGTCTGGAGGACAGCGCCGGACTGCTCAGTGTGCACATGGGCGTGGCCTCAGAGCCCTAGAGACTTCTGGACGATCTGCTTGGCGATCTTGTAGAACTGCTCACGGTCATCCCGCCACATCTTGGAAGCATCTACATTTGCTCCGCTCTCATCATTGGGCTCTGAAAAGAAAGGGAACTGTGAACAAAAGGGTAGGCGGCTTGGCGACAGCCTCCTTTTTATCTCAAAGGACTGCGGACCTCTCACAGGTCATTCTGGGTAGCAAAGTGACTTCCAACACAAACTAGGGCCTTCTGTCTGAGGGAGGGAGGCTGGAAACTGGTACACGCAGGGCACTGACCCCCTAGTCAGCATTCCATCACCACCAGCAACCTGTGGCAGCTCCCTTAGGGGACAGGAACCCCTCTTCCCACACCCCAAACTTCCCTTGACTGACTCCTGCTCCCTTTGTACATCCCTGGACACTGCACCCTGGTGCCCAGGTCAGTAATACAAGTCCTCACACACCAACTGAGGAGAGTCTGAGGGCCTGCATCTTACAGCCCCTCCAAATCTACCCATTCTCTTGGCTGGGGGTGTCCAAGTGCCTGAATACCAGACTAAGCAGTCAAATGCTTTTCCCTATCCCAACCCCTCCAGCCACCAGCTCCACACAGATGGTCCTTCTAAGGCAAAAGTGCAGGATGTGGCAACCAATGCAACTCCCAGGGCTACTCACTAGGCTCAGCGCCAGGTCTCCTGCCCGTGTCCAGCTGACCCTCAGCCCCAAATGCCTTTCCTCCCCACTTCCCTTGTCAACTTCTAGTGTCTCCCAACTCATTCCAAAGAGGCCAAGAGAAGTGCTTCTGCAGGTCAGGTTTACTACACTGGCCAATAACTGTTGGTGGGTTTGGAAGTTCCTTAAAAGTTCGGGAACCTCACTTTGGGGTATCTGTTGTACTGAGCATTATACCCCTGTACTAGACGCACAGTGAGACCCCAATAAGTGAAAATGCCCAGGATAAGAGAATAGCAAACTATTGTCGACAATCTGCCTTGTCCTATGTGGTCTGTAATCATGGAGGCATGCTCACACTTGGGAAAGTACAGACCTGGTACAACAGCAGGGAACAGAGTAAACAGGCTCACCTGCCAGCATGCTCACCACCGAAAGCAGGATCTTCTCCACACTTTGCACAGGGCTCCACCGCTCAGCACTGCTCTCATAGCCCATGGGATCATCGCCTGGGGCATGCAAGATGGAGATGCAGACTCTCCCGTCAGGATAGACTGCAAAAGTCAGAGGCAGCCACATGAGCCCAGATACAGTGCCACTGTGCTGGGGAGGCTCTGCAGAAAGAGGCCCGGCTGTTTGCACAGCAGTAACAGGACACTTTCTGGTGGCACAAATCCCAGAGAGGCCTACCAGCAGCAGGCCAGACCTGTCCGGGACTGCTCAGGTCCTGTGGTCACTGGCTGACAGTGGGGCTCAGGACCAGGTCTACCTAGCACTAACTAGTCACAACTTATCTAGCACTAACTAGCCCACAACTGGATCCCACCTTTTATGGCTTTCTCTGTGCATTACCACCAAAAGGAGTAAGTGAAAGGTGAGCAGACAAATATTCCAAAATTCAGCTACCCAGAAGTGAAGAGTCTTCACAGGGCTCTGCAGAGCAGGTTTATAGGCATCCCTAACTCAGCTGGCAAGACCAACGTCCTCCTCACCCCGCATCTACGTCCATGTGGCTAAAGTAGAGGCAAGGCAATTGAACTAAGTGTAGAGAAGGGGTGGGCATTTAGTAACATACAGTTCAAAATTAATTTTACAAAATAAAAAGACATCAGATTGGGTTGGAGAGGCAGTTCAATGGTTAAGAACACTGACTGCTTTTCCAGAGGAATGGGGTCTGATTCCCAGAACCTACACAATGGCTCAGAACCAGCCTTAACACTAGCTCCTAGAGATCTGACTCAAGTCTTCTGGCTTCTGTGGGTATCATAAACATGTTACATAGGTATACATACAGGCCAAAATACCCATACACATAAAATAAAATGAAACACATGTAGAAGAAAATTGATGTCAAATATGTTTTATTTTACAAAGTAGAATATCCTACTTGAATTTCTGCTCCAGGACCAGATTTTTAAGATCAGGATTATTAGTGGCAACAGAAATCTCTTACAAGAAGGAACATTACTCTAAATGCCATCATTCAAAATACAACACATTGTCCCATTCCTCTTATGTAAGCTGGACATAGTGACTCATGTGTGGGATCTTCCACTTGGGAGACACAGTCAGGAAAATTAGGAGACAGTCCTGGGCAATGCGGACCCTATATCAAGCACTCACCCCTCAAACTTCTCTAATATACAATACCTACTTGTAAAAGGAAGAAATAAATAAGTAAATAATCCCAATCAGAAGCGTCACTGGCAGCATTATTGTAACCCCTTCCAGACATCTCCCACAATTTGTTTTCTGAAGAGAAAATGCACAGTGTTACTGAGTCCTGGCTTGACATTACACTTGAGTGCATTCCCCTGGCATCGCTATGGATTCTTACTGTGTCTTCAGTGTCCACATCCAGTCTAACTACAGCATTCCCTTAACACTGCTAGAGGAAAACTGGGCTGGCTCCAATTTTTTAACGTGTATGAGTGTTTTGCTGTATGTATGTCTGTGCACCACAAGACAGCCTGGTTCCAGAAAGGCCAGAGAGTATCAGATTCCCTGGAGCCTTGGTTGTGAACAACCATGGGGGTGCTGGGAACCAAATCCTCTGCAAGAGCAGCAAGTACTTTTAACCACTAAGCCATCTCTCTAGCCCAATTCCAATTTTCCACCATCAAAAATGACACTGTGACAAAAGCCAATGTAGGCCACAAAGCACTCAAGGCCCCATTAACTCAGGATGGTTGGGCCAAAGAGGTAGTGTTACATTCATACATTTTTTTTTTTTTTTGCTCCTCTATATTAAGCTGATCTCCAAAATGGAAACCCTGGTGCTCACATCATAACTGATTTGCCACAGTTTAAACCCACCAGCCACTATAGAAATGTCTGTACAGTATTGGCATGCTTCCCATGATCCTGCAGGAGCCCTTGCCTCATATTAATAATGCAGCCTTCTGCTGCTTTGTCAACCATTGTCAGGTGCACTTACTGTTGGGATGGAACATCTCGCAGGTGAATCTCATCTTGGGAGGACTCAATGGGTAGTCAAGTGGGAAACTCAGGATGGCAGGAAAAACACCAAACTCAAAGCAAGTGTCTTCAGGGCCCCTGCAAATCAGGAAATAGATATAACCGCAATGCCAGCCATGACTCAGAAGTGGGACAAGGATACGATACTATCACTGCTTAAAAAGGAACAGGGAAAATCTAAATGAGCTGCTGCTTTCCTCTCACAGAGAGCTCTGTCTCAGCTGTTGTGGACAGACACAAGGCCACAGAGATCTGCACAGATCTGCACCACAGAGAAGAAACCCAAGCATTCTGTGGTCCTAGGAAGGTGACTGTCGGTTGAGGTCTGGCTCCTGTAAGGATTGAGGTGTGAACTGTGGCAGAGAATAATCACGAGTCTGTACACACCGATGAGGAGCCAAGGAATGCATTTCAAAGGATATTTTTAATTTCCCAATGTGCCTAAGATGTGATTTATAGCCATAAAACAGAAAGGGCACACGTGATTCTAGACTCATGATCAGTGGAAAAGCAGCTCAGGCCACAGCAAACCCACCTGGCCCTAAGACTCCAGCCTGCACCCAGCCAACTCCTAATATGTAAACAGCAGAATGGACCAAGCCATTACAGGAGTCCTGTTCAAATCCTAGAGCCTTAGATGATGACTGAGACCTGAAGGCAGGGAAACAGGAGAGGGCACGGCCAAAGACTAGCTCCTCCCTTCCAAATCTCACTAATATGACCCGTATGAGCAATTCAAGACTGTGGACATTCTCCACTACATAAACTTAGTAGGCAGAAGAGCTGGCTGACAGCTTCCAACCCTAGCATGGAAGAGGTCATTGGGAAAGGCCAGCATACCAGTAAAAAACAAGCCCTGTCCCATCCACACTGTGAAAGAACTGGGTCCTGTAGGACCACTCTGAAGCAGGTGCAGTGGCACACACCTTTAATCCCAGAACTCAGGAGGCAGAGGCAGGCGGATCTGTGAGTTCCAGAGGCTACAGAGCTACACAGAGAAACCCTGTCTTGAAAAACCAAAATAAATAAATAAATGAACAGCTCTTCATCCCTGTGACAGCAGGTCTAACACAGAGGAAAAAATAAAAACAAAAACACAAAAACAAAACAAAACAAAAACCCTATAGGATAAGAACCTGAACTTCTACCCACAGGGGGGAAATAGAAAATATTGATTCAAAAGCCATCTTTACTTACTAGAAAATATTTTCTCAAAATACAAACTTAGCTGGGTGTAGTGGTGCCTAATGTCTAGGGCAACTTGATCTACACCAGTCTTGTCTCAAAACAACAAAAACAAATTGTGGGTTTGGGAGGGGTGGCTCAGCAGTTAGGAACACACATTGCTCTTCCCAAGGACCCGAATGTGAGTCTCAGTACCACACTGGGCGCTCACAAACACCTGTAACTCCGCTACAGGAGGGTCCAACTCCTCTGGCTTCTGGGGGCACTTGTACTTATGACTTGAGCACCCCCACATACATACACTTAAAAATTACACAAATAAATCGGGGGGAGGGGGACTAGTAAGGGGTGGGGTAAAAAGCACAGTCTATAAAGTGCTTGTTGTGCAAGCAAGAGATCCAGGACTCAAGCTCCAGAATTCATGTAAATACATAGGTATACACGCCTGTGACCTGAGAATTGGGGAGGTGGAGCTAAGGGAATTCCCTAGGCTCACAGGTCAGTTAGCCTCACCAAATCAGCAAATTCCAGGCAATGAAAAACCCTGTCTCAAAAAACCATGCTGTCCGATGAGTAGCTGAGGTTGAGCTCTTGCATGCCTTCACATGCATGTGGCTGACATGCATCTGCATGCACACATGTATACATGCACATACATATCATCCCCACAGATGAAACACTACAAAAAAATAATACAAATATGATTAAAGTTTTGATAGTTATTTTAGATCAGTGATACATGGATCTGTAAAATACTATTTATCTCCACAATTAAGAGAGCAAGGGAAAAAAAAAAACTTTAATTTTGTTTGCAGTCACACCCAGAGCTTCGAAAGAACAATGCCGTGTCTTGTTAAGCCAAGTTTTTTTTTCTCAGTGACAAGCCTTGACTCTGGAAAGCGATCCTGTGCTACTTCAAAAACAAGCATGAATAGCTCTTCTCCTTGGAGGGATGACATGCTGCTTGACAATCCCCTGGGGTCCTGGCACCAGGCCAGGGCAGAGGATGCCCTGGGAAGCAGCAGCACAGTCACCTTCGCGGGGTGTGGTCCAGCTGAGTTTTCCTCTCTCAAGCTGCAGGGGCCTGGGTGGACCCCTAAACTTTGTCCTCTCCCAAGTCAGAGCTATCAAGTACTATGGAGATAAATGCCACCTATCAGCACTTCCTAGCCTTCTGAATTAAGGCGGGCAAGGGGACTGCTGCTATTTTACTATTGAGCAAAGCTGGGAGAGACACAATGTAGTCCATAAAACTGCAATTGGAAGGCTGGGCAGACACCATCTTAGAAGTAATTCTGCTAGCCAGGCATGCACCAGGCATGCCGTTAGTCCCAACACTTGAGAGGCAGAGGCAGGTGAATCTCTTTGAATTTAAGCCCAGCCTGATCTATATGGAGAGTTCCAGACCAATCAAGGGAACATAATAGAGAAATCCTGTCTCAAAAGGAGGGAGGGACAGACAGAGAGACAGACAGAGAGAGACAGATAGGTAAGACTGAGACAGAAGATACCCTGTAGGGCCTCACTATGGCTGGCACCTCTGAGTCTACAGTGAGAAAAAAATGGGTAATGTCCTTGGAATGAGCTACATAGCATTTGCTCAATGCTTTGATAACAGGTCTTTGTTTCTCATAATAGGGCTTTCTCTAAAAAGAAAAAAAAAAAAAAAAAGTCTACTGGGTTGTTCATGGCATCAGAAGCATGACCCAACATTTCCTCAAGTGCGCCCACATCTTAAATAGCAAAGCTGTTCGCGAATACTCCGGCTTACTGCCGGTTTAAACTGGGGTTTCTTTCTCTTTTCCAGCATGCCTGCCACTTGAACAGGTATGCAGGTGGCAGAACTGTGCAGGGACATGCCTGCCAGAGGTGGGAAATGCCACAGAGAAGCTTCCTGCCCAGGACAGAGAATCAGAACCAACAGCTTTTGGGCAAGTTTTACTCCACACTTGTGGGAGTGAAGCCCCTCACTCATAGAACAGGAAAGGAAGTAAAGCACCGAAAGCACACACATACACACAAATCCATCTACTGACTGCAAACACTGACCTAACTTCCTACTCCCCAGCACACCATCAGAGATGTGTTCTAACTGCACCCTCAGGGAATGCCTCCTTAAAGGTCTCCCTGGCTTCTTGTCTGCTGGAGAATAGATGTGCAAGAGTGACTGAATGGCTGTCATTCCTGCCCCCGCTGACTGCCTAACTCAGCCTGTCCTCCAGAACTGCCTCAGACCACATCAGCAGCACAATGTAAACACGAACTCCAGCCAGAAGCTGGCCTTTCATTTTTTGGATGTTGCAAGGTGAGAAGTCTGTGACACCTGGAGGGCAGAAGGTCAGAGCAGCCTCCTGATCCTGCAGCTGTTTGGCCCTGCCTGCCACTGATACTGGGGCAGGCGAATGTTAGCGAAGCCACTTTGCTGTCTGTCCTCTTTATGAAGGGTCTCACACCACTATAATTGATGAAGTCTTAAAGTAACAGACTGCCCTCTCTTTGGAACTCAGAACCAGAAATGAATTACTAAAGATGCTAATCTCTGCAGTAAGGCCAGCTAGATAGACAGCATACAAAAAACGGTGGGCAAATCCACACACACCCTCCCCTATAGCCTGCACAGTAAGAACTGCACAGTGAATTCTGACACAGAGGATCACCGTCTAACATAAATGCTAACTTTACTCATGCCGGAAACTATCCTGAGGTTCTGCAGGCTTTCCTGTGTGTGTAAACACACAACCCCTAGCAACAAAAGTGGATTACTTTAGAGTTAAAATTGTATCATGGTGTATGAGTGATGGGAATGATGTTCTCGTGGCTGAGATTCTGAAAACCAGGGATAAACAAACACCCCACACTTAAAGACCGGGCAGAGCACAATGTTATTCACGTGCCAACATTCTACAAACTGATCTGAGAACTCCACAAACCCCATCAGGAATACTGCAGAAAACAACACATGTACGGAAATTCATGACACTTAGAATAGCCAGAAGTCTAACAGAAAGAACAAGGCCAGAGGACTCATATTTGCCAACTGTATAACTAAAAGCTACAACAACCAGACAGTGTGGTTCATGGCAGAGGACAGGCACAGAACAATGAACTAGGATGTCTAAAATTAAGCTCCTGAATCACAGTTTATATTGATTTTTGACAAAGATGCCCAGATTCCTCAACGGGCAAATTCAAGAAAAGGTTCTGAAGCAAGTGGTTGGCCACAGAGTGAAGGTTGCTCCTATACTTCATTCCTTACATAAAACTAACTGAACAGGACCAAAGGTGGAGGTGTAGATGGCTGCAAGCTACTGGGTAGTTACCACTGCTTGTCAACCTGACAAAGTCTGTGATCAGCTAGAAGGGAAGCCTCTGGTCTGCCTGTGAGGGACCATCTGCATTAGGTTAACCGAGATGGGAGACCCACCCTAACTGTCAAATCAAAGAGGGACTTAAGAGCACTTGTTGCTCTTTCAGGACCCAGGTTCAATTCCCAGCCCCCACATGGTGGCTCACAACTATCCCAAGTCTGGTCAAGAGAACCAATTGCCCTGGCCTCCACTGTACCACGTGTGGTAATTCATGCTTACTTGCAGACAAAATACACACATAAAAATAAATCTTTAAAAGGGGAGGCGTTCATCACTTTCTCTTTCCCGACTATGGACTCAATGGGACCAGCTGTGTCACATTCCTGCTGACACAACTTGCCACCGTAATGGGCTATACCCTCAAACTGTGAGCCGCAAACACAACCTCTCTCCTCCTCTCCCCCTCGGCTCCTTCTCTCTGTGCCCTAGTTGTCCTAGAACTCTTTCTGTAGACCAGACTGGCCTTGAACTGAGAGAGCCCCCTGCCTCTGCCTCCTGAGTGTTGGGATTAAAGGTGTGTGCCTT